ACAGTGTTGCGCTCTTAACACAGCCCTGAGGGGGTGCTAACTACCTCCATTTGAGCATGAAATTAATCGACTTCTTTCTACACTGCAGGTTCTGATTTGCCAAGCTTCTTTAGACAATGAGAGGAGTCAATTAGCTCCCTCACGATGTACGTTCTTTCGAGAATTGCAGCCCAAGGTGAAAGCTTCCACCAAAATTGATGCCAGCTGATCAACTGATTTCGCAGCTTGGAGAGGGTAACAATCTTCAGTATATGCACGCGAAGAGGTCTAGAAACACGAAGGAATTTCTATTGAATTCGCATTTCCACCCAGGTTTGTTAGGATGAGGGAAAATTTACCTAAAGTAAATTATAAAATGCCAACAGCGACACAGCGATCGTGAGACATGAGACGCACCAAAGTACAAATTACTGGATGCAGTTCTCGATTGTCTATTGCACTCCTATTTTCTTCTGCTAGAAAATAGCTAGTTTCTAGTAAATCTGACTGTGTATGGACGCGACCCTGCGAAGTTAGTCACCTATTTAATGTTGTTACTAAAAATTATTTGGTAGTTACGAGATTATTTTATGCAGCATGGCAAAAACTAGGGACGTGACAACCCGACCGCGAACGACACAGATAGTGAAGTTCTAGATGCCACCCTCGAGGGCAGTCGTACTAAAACCATCAGCCCCTCCCTCCAACTCAGAAGCTAACCCCAATGACACTCACGTACTTTCAACACCATAGGCGAGGGAGAAAACCGATCAGTTCACCCCCCGGCGAATGAACAATAAGCATAACTTCGACACGACTTCACTAACGACACACAGACAACAGGCTGGACGGATGACATGGGCAAAGCCAAATAGCAGGAACGAAGCATACAAAATACGAACTCCATAGGGCCATAAAGCAACTAACAACCTAGCCACAAAACTATAGTATCTATCCTTAAGGATCCTTTCAAGGAATCAACAGAGAACAAAGGAAGAAAAATGACATTCAGTGATACTGCAAATTTCAAACCAAGCGTGAATAAAAACAGAATGCATCAAGATGGTGAGGCAAAAGCGGGGAAAGAAAATAGAGAAACTCCAAAAAGGAATCAGATCTGGTGAGCCAATAAGAAGCACTAATCCGACTCCTCCTCGCTGCTACTCGTTGTCTCCTCAGAACTGCTTTCAGATGTTTCCTTTTTTGACTCTGTCTTCTTATCTACCGTTGGTGATTTCTTTTCATCTTTCGTGTTTCCCCCATCCTTCTCCTCGTCAGACTCAGATTCGGACTCAGATTCTGATTCACTTTCTGTAGAGCTCGATTCCTCCTTCTGCTCTGTTTTCGACCCAGTGACAGTTGCGGAGGTCGGCACTTTTTCCTCCTCAGACTCACTTTCCTCCGAGGTCTCAGACTCGCTCTCAGACGACGAACTTGCAGATTCCTTAGACTCCTCTTCCTTCTCAATGGTCTTCTTCACCTCTTTTTCTTTGGTTTCTTCTTCCTCATCAGATGACTCCTCTGACGAATTCTCCATCGGTGATTCATCCTTGGGCTTGGCAGATGTACCATCAGCCGCCACTACAGACTTGGTAGATGCTTCTTTTCCGGACTTCCTTCCATCAGATCCAGTATCTGCCTTCTCCTTCGGAGCTGATTCAGCCTTATTTTCATGTTTAGCTTCAATGACATCCTCTTCTACCTTTCCTTCCTTTGATTTTTCATCAGCAGAAGCTTCCTCATCATTTTCAGACTCTGTTTCCTCCTCACCCTCTTCATTTTCTGATTCTTCAGTTGAATTTCCGGACGCTCCACCAA